AGGCTCCAGGAAAATGGCTACTATAAGCAAATTACAACTCCATTCCTGGAATTAAATCAAAACTCAGCGCTAACTCAATTATGCCTCGTACAGCAGAAAGGTCAAAAGGGAGTCTTGTTCTAACCCGAGCTCAGCATGAAGATAATGAACACTTCTAGGCAACCACTTCCCTCACCCACCGGCTAACGAGCAAAACAACACCCACAGATTGGGAGCGGGTTCAGACAAGAAGGAATGCCACATCCCTTCTCCGCATTGTCAGCTCTTCATCCACTGAACTGGCCTGGTTGAGCCTCGTTATGTGTTTCATCTTCAGGCATGCCATGAAGCAGCCTGTTGGCAGTGTGATGGGTGTGTCAGGAAGAGGGAAAGCCTGTTTGCGTGGGTCTGATGTATATGGGTGTGTGTATGCGTGTGTAAGAGAGAAAGAGACAGGCAGAGACCATTCAGAGACTCTGGGATTATTTATTCGTGCATCTGTGTGCGCGTGTGTGCGTGATAACTACTGAAAGACTCTGGGTGTGTGTTTCTGTGTGCATATATATGATAAAAGCCATCAAGGGATTTTAGATGTGATGTGTATACCTATAAGTGTGATGTAGTGTGTATCTATAGGTGTAATGAAGGTCATTAAGAGATTCTGGGGATGTGTGTGTGTGTATGCGATAGTGTGCATGATTCTTTTGGTGTGCCTATACATGTAAGATATAAACCTTATATGAAAGGCTAGTGGCTGGTCTCCACTCAATTTTGCACCATTTTAACTCACCTGGTCATTTGCCAATGCAAGCTCCCATGACAAAAATGCATTTAGAGCAATAGAAATGAGTCAACACAATGAAGTCATTCCAATTTAGCTAAGATCATAGGATTTAAATGGTGAAAAATCTGTATGTAGAAAAGATCTCAGCCTGTGAGTGTGTGTGTAAGTGTGTGTGTGTGTGGGGTGACGCCTCTGTGCGTGGTGGTTGTCTCAAAAGGTGTCCTCCTCCAAATGTGCATTTCTTTCATTTCTTCGTGTTGTTTTAGTATTGCTGTAGCTCCTAAGAGCCCATTCACAACCTGGGCTCCATTGAACTGGGCATGGGATGAGTACAGACCAAAAAGAGAATGAATTTGTCTGTCATATCATGCAAAGACATCTCCGTTCACTCTTCCAAAACCTCCACGGCCTTTCTCTCTCACACAAAAACACATACCCAGAGTCTCACGATGGCCTCATAATGAATCTGGAGTGACATTTGCCTTCATATAGGATAGCCAGAGTAGGGAGATCATAGGATCTTAGGGGATATTGTAGGAAAGCAGGGCTGGAAGGGACCTCACAAGGTCATCTAGCCTAGCTCCCTGCTAAGGGCAGGATCATCCCTGACCAAACCATGCCAGACAAGTGTCTGTCTAACTTCCCCTTGAACATTTGCAGGGATGGAGATCCCACAGCTTCTCTAGGTAGCCTGCTCCAGTGCTGGACCACCTTCAGAGTCAGACATTTAACCTCCAACCTAAATTTCCTCTGCTGCAGCATGAGGCCATTGCCCCCAGTTCTGTCCCCTACAGCCACGGAAAAATGTGTCTCCATCCTCTTGATAATCATGTTTCAGGTATTGGAAACCTGTTATCAAAATCCTCTTCTCTTCTCTCCCCTAGACAAAACAGTCCCAGTCCTTTCAGCCTTTCCCCATAAGTCATGTTTCCCCGCCCTCCAAATCATTTTTGTCGCTCTCCACCAGACCCTTTCCAAACTGTCTGCAGCCTTCTTGAAGTCCAGGGCCCAGGCCTGGGCACAATACTTTAGGTAAGGCCTCACCAGGGACAAATAGAGCAGAAAAGTTGCTTCCCTTGCAGTCTCTACACAAGTGCACGTTATCCCAGTAGCAGTAAGAAGATCTCTGTTTTATCACCACATACCCCAATATCCCTCCCCCACAACACTTTTGGCATCGCACTCTACCTGTAATAACACTGATGCTATAGCCCTGTTTTGCCTCGATTTCATCTCTATTTGCATCTGCAGTTAAGCACCTGCTTAAGCACGAGACTTCCTCACGGCCTGTGGATTTCAGCACGGCGACTCCTAACCGAGACCACGCTGACAGCAGGTTTTGGCTTGGCGCGGGCAATTCAGCAGCATCAGGCAATAAGACCGCGTGTGAGACTGGCCGAATCATTCCTGCACAGCTTCCAGGCTACAAGCGCGCCAAAATGATACGGTCGTCCAAGAACAAGCATCACTTAGGATAATATGTGATGCAATAGAAGACCCATTTAGCATGTCGTAAAACTTCCTAGCTTTGTGTGGGGAGGCCGCGTCTCAGTTCTGGGCAATGGGAGCTGAGCGTAGAGCGATAAGAGCAATACTAAATAAATAAAGAGACAGCCAAGCGTTTTATAAATCCCGGTTATTTATTAGCTCGCCGGCTCCGGTTTCCAGTGAAAGAAACCATTCCCGCCCCTGCTGCATCTGCCTCTCCACTCCGTGGAGCAGCCACGTACGTCCGGTCGGCTGCTTTGCAAACGTAGCGCTGCGGCCCCCTGCGCGGATTTCAATGTAGCATTCTAATTCGGTGATTACTGTCATAAAGCCATTTGTCAAATGCCCTAGGAGACTCCGCAGACGTCAGCCTGGTAATACTTTTTATTGCTGGCCTAATCTTTACAGATCGAATTAAGACTGGGGGACTTTATCAGCGGATTGAGCTAGGTGAAGGGTTATGTGTGTATTTCATTTGTTCTGCTATCAAAGGTGCACAGGCCTTTACCCCTTGCCTGCTGCCACGAAGGCCAAAAAAAAAAAAAATTAAAAAGAAAAAAAGGGCGATTACACTGTAATCAAATAGTCTTTAAGAGGCTCGCAGAGTGGGCTGATGTTCGAAATAAAGCAAGATGAATGTTGCATCCTTCTGCCAGTCTTCAGAGCAGAGGCGACCGACATCCATCCCGATACTAATTCTCCTATTAAATTAAATAACACTAAGGGTTGTGCTGCTTTCATTAAACATCGTGGGCGAAGACGCTCCCTACAGTCTCTCTCGCCAGCATCTTTGGAACATCGCACTAATTAGCAACAGGCAGGCAAAATGGGCTGCAGCCTCCCCCTCCGCCTTATTAATTGCTCTGAGTAATAAATAGACTTCCCAGGGCTTGAGGCAAGGATGATGGGTGCCATCTGGGGAGGAAAGGTTGGACAGAAAAAAGCAAGTGATGGCCTCGGGACCATGGGTCACCTTCGGGACCATCAATAGCTCCAATAAGAGTTCCATCCAGCGCATGGACTTCAAAATGAGGATGCCTGAAACCAGGCTGAGCCTAGGAGCAAAGGAGTTGGGATTGGGTCCAAAGTCCATGTAGCTGGGAATCTTATGTCAGAAATGGGGGAAGAACCAGATGCTTAGGAGGTAGCTACCCCCTTCCATAGGTTTGCTTTCATTAATCAGATCTCTGGATAATCTCGTCCTCCATAGAAACTTCCGATCTCGTCTTGACGCTTGTTAATCTTGGCTTACTGACTTCCTCTGGCAACACAATCCATTTTATGAGAGAGCTGTGGGTTGTGTGTCAAGAATATTTCCTTTTTAAATTATTTTTTACTTTCTCACCTTTTACTTTTCTGGGGCCCGCTTTTGTTCTTGGGTTATCAGGAGACCTTCTCCAAACCAGTCATTCACTCATAATTATTGATTGCATCTTCTCTTTTCCTTTCCTTTTTGATTCCAGTCTTTCCAGTTTGTCTTCATGTGCAATTTTTTCCCCAGTCCCTGTTGTTCCTGCCTGAAATGTATCCTATTCCACAAGATTAAAAATCCTCCTTCAAGACACCAATCTGAGATAACACCCTCAGTCAAGAAGGTTGTTCAGCCACAAGCTTAACGGCAAGCATGCACTTAAGTCTAGGGCTTGGTGATTATTTCCCGCCATTCTTAATGGGAAAATTAGCTTTTCAATGATATTTTCATGGAAAGTGTCTCATTTTGCATGATTTTTTGCATTTTTCCTTCAGAAAAAACAATTGTCCTATATGTGTGTCATGAACCTACAAGAATTTTTCAGGTTTCTATGGAATATTTTTGCTTTTCATTTGTTACAAATGAAAACATTTTTGGTTCTTCAATCTCAGGTCAATATTTTCCACACCAAATGTCAATATCTATCTATCTATCTATTGCATATATATTTATGTATCCATCTGCCTATTTCTTGCAGATCTATCTATTGCATATCTATGTATCTATTTATTACATATCTATCTATCTATCTATCTATTGCATATATATTTATGTATCCATCTGTCTATTTATTGCAGATCTATCTATCTATCTATCTATCTATCTATCTATAAGCCCGGATTTTCCATAAGGAAAAAAAAAATTCAACTGGTTTCATGCAAATTCTTTGGATTTCAATGGAAGTTGTGTGGGCTGAACACTAAAAAAAATATATCCCCCTTTTGATAGTATTTTGCCCCTCATATATCACTGTTATACATGTCTAAACACGCATGATTTGCTGAGATACCCAGGACTGAAAAATGTAGGCCTTATTTTTGGTGGAGGGAGGTGAGTAGGTTTTGACACCTTGTGTTGCAACATGCAGCTTTGAGCTTGGACTGAAATTCTCAGAGCTGCTTATTGGGTGCTCATTTCCACTGTTGATTCGTGGGGCCTGTAAAGACCCCACATGTCCTTTTTCCATGGAGCAATTGCACGTCATCATGGAGGAAGAGTGGGGAGGGGGAAGCGTGCGTTGGGGAGCTGGGATGTGCTAATCTTTTTCCTGAACCAGTGACTTATCTGAAATTTTGCCCATGTTTATAGTCTTTTGCTGGAAATAAGCGGCCGCCGTTGACAGAAGCGCGGTGTCGGGGGCTGCGATTATCTCTTCATCTCTTGCAAGCTGATCTCTCAGCAAGTTGTCACCAACACTTCTTTCTTCACGGTATGGGTGTGTAGGTGAGGAAAGATGAAGCCGGCAT